TTTAGGAGCTAGTTTTTGCACTAAAATGTTTTGTGAGATAGGTGAGAGCGGGGCACAACCTAACGCATTTTGGTTTTGGCTCAATTAATTAAAAAATAATTAGGTTAGATTAATACTTTTTTTTACACAAGCAACATACACATCTCTGCTACAGATGACCACTTAAAGTTTTTTTCTAGGACCTACCATTTTCGTACAGTTGCACTGAAAGTGACAGAAGTGCAAATGTTACAACTTACCCCATATGCGGGGTTTAATGTAACAGACAGAGGGGTTAGTTGTAACACTTGTGTGCAACACACATAATTCAGTACTATTTTATTTGTATAGTTTGATATAGTTTGTGCATCGTATAGACAGATATCCATACATCCATCCCTCATCCAATCATTCTTCTATTATGGATCAATATCATGGATAGAGGCATAGAAAAGGGCTGCATAGTTTTGCAATAAATAATAATAAATAAAATTATAAACTTTGTAATTGCAATTAAATTAGATTTGTGTGTGGCAGCTGCATGTACAATTATTATTATTATTAATAACAATAATAACAGTAATAATAATACAAATGAGCTTAAAATAAAAATTGAAAGGGTTTATTGCATAAAAGGGGGGGGGGTGACTGCTTTTTTTCTTTGCATGATTGTGTTTATGGGGTGCAATATAACATGTATTCATGGTTTTTCTTTTTTAAAAAGTCTTATTTTTTATAAACTTCACCTTTATTGTAAGCCGCGCTCTCCTCTGAACGAGTGGTTGACTTCCTGATTCTTTGAAACCACTCCCTCAGAAACACCCAATGGGCTCAGATTGGTTCGTTTGGGCCGGTGTGTTGTGATTGGCTAAACTGTCGCTCACGTTGTCCGGAAGGTTAACGCCCATTACCTTTATGGGCGAAACGGGCATGCCAAAGGTGGATACCATAGACGGTGGATACACGTAAATAATGATGTCGAGACTGCAGTATCAGTGAGGCAGAATCAGACCGAGAAAGCTGCGATGAAAGAGTCAAACAGAACCTCACCACACACAGCTCTTACTAAACATTTCTGAATGATAATTTGCTACATTTTTTAACCATATACACGTTTGTTTTACACAATAGCATCTGACTGGCAACGATAGCAACTGACTGGCTACTAATGTTAAACACAAACAGCGTTGGCAAGTTTAAGTTTTGATCAAATCGAAATTAACATCATAAAGCATATATACATGAAAAATACATTTACAACATTAGTACTTATACAAAATTCAGGTCCATAATGTTTGTACGCGTTTGTCGTAGACACAAAATACTAGCATAACTAGTAGCCTAGTGGCTATAAAGCCAGCGCTGGCATATGAAAAAATAAAAATAAAACACAAGGCTATGTCTGGAATTATACATGTAAATACATTTAAAATGATTAGGTCTTAGCCTACTTATGGCTCGTTTTCACTGAGGGGTACGGTACGGTACGGTACAGTACAGTACGGGTCGGGTCGGGTACACCATGATCAGGCTTGCGTTTCCACCGCCAACAGTACCCTTACTTGATAGGTGTGGTATGCTGGAAAGAAGCGATCGATGTCATTTTCGCGCGAAGAAAGCGCAAAGTAAACAACAATGGATGACAGACAGCAGATCTTGTTCTTGCTTCTCGGCATGTTTGTCACTAGAAACAAGCGCTGGCATTAGGCGTTTCCAAGAAGCCAACGCAAATTCCGACTCAGGAGAATGATCCCGAGGACGCGAGTAAAGTAATTCTGCTAATGGAACAGTTCTTGAACGCACTCAGCTCGCTCTGGCTCTGCGACTCCGGTTATCTCTGTATGTTCATTTTAGGCAACAATAAAATGAAATATGTTATAAAACACCACTCTGCTTCTTTTCGATTTCATTTCAATACATTTTAAACATTCTAAAGCACATAAATGTGGTTCAGGCAACGCATAGCCTATTGATTATCACTGCATGTATGTAACGTTATATTTATAACAAAACTAAATATAAAACAACCCTGCCTCTTTTCGTTTAAATTTAAAAATATTAAACATATTCCAGGCAATATGTAATGTAATGTATTGCATATCGCATTGGTACAAATGTTGCAATAAACAACATTACAGATGATCTTGTAATAAAATAAATGACAAAACTATCTCTTTTTGTTGAATTTCAGTTTTATCAATAATAGCCATTATAAAAATATAAGTAAAAGGTACAAAATACAGTAAAGCTTAAATAACATCAAGAAACAATTCAGTCAGTCAAATATAGCCTACAAATTCAGCGCTCAAAGATATGAAACTTCACGTAGCCTTCTGCCAAAACTATTGGCCAGGGAACGAATTATAGATTCACGAGACCAAAGATCCCCTGTTAGGTTTATACAAGACGAACTATATCTCATGTTTAACCACTACAGAGACGTCCGAGTCAGCGACAAACATCAGGATGACTAGCCGAGGAAAGGCTGTTCCCGGCGGGGGACACGAGCGCGAGCGTCCGGTGATCGCTTGGAATGGATCTCAGTCAAATTATCAAAAATCTATAAATAAACCACAGATTTGATCTTTAAAAAACTACTTTCTCGCCTGAAAAACTCTTAAAACTACATTTCGTGACACAATAACAGTAGAATTATATTTCAACTGTATGCTTCTAATGCCCTTGTAGCACGCGCGAGTGACGATACTCTGTCCACCAATCACCGTTCTGCAGTGAGTCTAGCTCCACCTTTTAGTACTCTTTCACTGTGCTAGGTACCCTAACGAAAGGGTACCCAAAAAGTAGTACGGTACGGTTCGGCTTTTTGGTACCATTCACAACTTTTGACAGTGGAAACGCAAATAATTGCGTACCGAACCGAACTGTACCGTACCGTACCACTCAGTGGAAACGAGCCATTACAGGTTGTGGCCCAACAACTGCTGCCTCTGGTTTTAAAGTTGCAACTGCTTCATGTTTTAGTAACAGTTTCTTGTTGAATGCGATGTTGAATTCGTGGAGATTCTGGAAGCTGTCTTTCATAAAATGCGCAGCACAGAGAGCTAGATTACGATCGCCACTTTCAGGAATATAATCAAACATAAATTGTATCCATTGTTGGGGAAGTACAGCATCCATGGGAAGCCCGAAACACAGAAGACCTGACAGCTGGGTGAACACAACTCACTCGACGTGCCGCAGAAATATGCGCATGCCCTTTCCTGCATATTCCGGAGGGAGGGGTTGATGCAAATTTATGGGTTAGTGACGTCTAAAACCCAGCTGTAGTCCCAATCAAGTCGTTCTTGTAGCCAATTATACTTCCTGATTTAAAAAAAACGATATCTCTGCTTAACTTTCAGCGCTGCAACTTTGCAGATACTGTTCATGCACCAACAGCAACATTACACACTATTTAAAATCAAAAAAGTGAAATCGCAGTCAACCCCCCCTTTAATAACAGGCCATATTTTTAATAAATAAACAAGTTATCATTCATACTACACTACATTTTAAACATTTTAAATTCCAACATTGTTTGTGAAAGTCTAACAAAGTTAAATGTATACTCAAACCTGAAAAGTTGTGTGGCTCCGTTTTCATTTGATTATCATTGTACACTTGGCGGCTTAAAATATGTAATACACAGCGGAGTTAGTTGTAACAGAGTGTTGCAACTAACCCCGCTGTGTATTACATATTTTAAGCCTAGCTAACAGTCGCTAGGAATTGCTGACATGTTTCAAAATGGTGCTATGTTTGAGCCAACAAAACAGTGATTAAGGCAATATAAAGTTAGATTTGGAAACGTATACACCCAACTCGGAAACCGAAAAAAAAAAAACCTATGATGAAAAAAATTACTTTCATGATGTCAAAACACTCTTTGTCCAGTATCTTCACGAAATATAATCAAAACTTTCCGCAAATTCGCGGTAGACGGTCTTCTGGCAGCAAGACAAAAATAGCGGAAAGACAACCTGCTTGATCCTGACGAACTATGTAAACGGTCCGTGTTACATTTAACCCCGCGTTTGGTTGTGCCCCGCGCTCCCCTAAGCTTTTCTGAGAGCAAAAAGAATGTAAATAGTTTTATCTCTAAAAACTGTTTAGTGTATAACGCTAGTAATGGGGACATTTAATAAGTAAAAAGAAATCGCTAGTTTATACCACTAACAAGGATCAAAATAGCCCCACACTAACACAGTAACATAATGAGGGTCCCTACATGCAAAGCATTGAGAACTTTGTAAGTGTACAGACCGTTTAATAAGAAGATATTGGTAACACTTTAGAATACGGTTCTTTCGTTAATGAATAACTACACTAGAACCAATAAGTAACACAATATTAACAATCTCTATTATTAACTAACAAGAAACTCCGATTAACGAACTAGTAAGTAATAGCGCACAGATGAAAGTGGTACTTCACTAACTAATTCAATAACTACTATTTTTTCAATGCTTCCCAGAGAACTACTGAAAAAGTTTATTAAAGGGTTAGTTCACCCAAAAATTAAAATTATGTCAGTATTTACTCACCCTCATGTTGTTCCAACCCCGTACACTCTAAAAAATGCTGGGTTAAAAACAACCCAATTTGGGTTATTTGGTAACCCAGCGCTGGGTAAATATTGGACAGAACACATGCTGGGTTATTTTGACCCAGCAGGTTGGGTTTTATAGATTAACCCATTTGCTGGGTTGTTGTTGTTTTTTTATCAGTGCTGGGTCAAACAGCCCCATGTTACAGGTTAATTTTAGATACTAAAAATTCTAATAACAAAAATAATATTAATAATAATAATAATAACACTACTGTTGATGATTCAATTAAAGTGTTTATTCCAGAAAATTAATATAATCTAATACATTCATGTTTAATCAACAATTAGTCATTTGCAGCATAAACAGAGGCCCACAAAAATCATTTGTGCTAAAATGTTGGTATGTTAAAAGATTATAAAATGGTAAGATTCTCAAAATTCAAAACAAACAATATACAATGCAATCATTTAGTCCTGTGTAGCAAAATAAAAACTTTAGTAACTGTAAAAGAGCCTATAGCTAAATATTCTCTTCTCTTCACATAAGTACATTCATTTAAATAAGCAATCAATTAGTCCTGAGCATCAAAAATGGAAATGGGAGACACATAAAAACTTGTATAAACTGTGCAGAATAGCTAAAGATTCTCTTCACAAAAAATTACACTGAAATAAAACATATTTACAGACTTGAAATTCATTTAAATAAAGAATCAATTAGTCCTGTGCATCAAAAATGGAAATGGGAGACACAAAAACTGCGTATAAACTGTGCAAAATAGCTAGATTCTCTTCACAAAAAAATTACAATAAAAAATCCATAAGTACATTGTAATTAATTTAAATAAGCAATCAATTAGTCCTGTGCAGCAAAAATAGGAGGCACATACAAACTCTGCATATAAACTGTAAATTAGCTAAAGATTCTTTTCACAAAAAATTACAATGAAATAAAACCTATTTACATACTTGAAATTCATTTAAATAAGCAATCAATTAGTCCTGTGCAGCAAAAATGGGAGACATGTGAAAACGGTATACTTGAAGGATTTAAGATTAAAGATTAATAAATAGCTAAAGGATCTCTTCCCAAAAATGTAAAACAAAAATGAAAGAAAAATGTACAGATAAATAGCTCATTTAGTCATTTAATCATTTAGTCCTCTGCAGCAAAAATGGAGGCCCGCAAAAACCGTATGCTTGAATTTTCTGTCCCAGGCATTCCATACACTACTTGCTGCAAAAATTCCCAAACAGGGGCACATTGTTTCGGATAGTGAATGTCAAAGCAATAAAATGCCTTGAAACAAAGATCCACAGCCTTGAGGAGAGTCACCTGTTCCAGAGCTTCCCCATTCACCACCACAAAAAACTGTCCCGCAATTCCAAGCTCCAAGACAAAGGGGAAGGGTTTCGCTTCTTTCTGCCTTTCCAGGTCCAGACTAAATGAGGGAATGACAATATCAGACACAGATAATTCTTTAAAAGTGTGTCTTAGGTTTTCATAATAGCATTCTTAGTTAAATAACGTCTTAAATTAAAGGGATAGTTCACCCAAAAATGAAAATTAAGTCATTAATTACTCACCCCCATGCTGTACCAACCCCGTAAGACCTTCGTTCATCTTCGGAACACAAATGAAGATATTTTGGATTAAATTTGAGAGCTGGATTACTGCTACGTACATAGGCTCCCTAAGGGATTGAAACTTGACGCCCCAGAAAGTCATTGAAGAAAATGCTTGTGGGCCTGAGACGAGAGTTCAAGAGATTTCCACAACGCATGTGCGATAACTGAACAAGAAGTAGTAGAAGAAGAACGTCCTCTTCTCAGTTCTCGCGCATGCGTCGTGGAAATCTCTTGAACTCTCGTCTCAGGCCCACAAGGAAGAAAAGGAATAGTCGAATAAAGTCACTGTAGTCACATGGAATATTTAAACATTTTCTTCAATGACTTTCTGGGCCGTCAAGTTTCAATACCTTAGGCAGTCTATGGAGGAGTGATATATCTTCATTTTTTATCTTCAAAAATATCTTCATGTGTGTTCCGAAGATGAACGAAGGTCTTACGGGGTTGGTACAGCATGGGGGTGAATAATTAATGACTTCATTTTCATTTTTGGGTGAACTATCCCTTTAACTTGAAGAGTTGTGAGAAAATGAAACGCGTGTCAGATCCAAGCAGCAATAACCATGATCACGATTAAAACGATTTATCGTGCAGCCCTACAAACATGTGTAAAGAAATGTTGTTTTACTTACAGGTTGTACATCAATGAATGAGGTTCTTGCCTCTTGAATAGTTGGCCGAAAGGTTTTGTGGCCAATCTTGTACACAGGTGGGGGAAGAATGACAGGCAAGGTTTTAAGTGCTAGTATGCCTTTCGAATCTAAGTATAGATAAAAGGCAAATTAGAACTTGTTAATTCATCACCTTTCAAATTAAGCAAAGTGCATTTAAGCAACTAAGGTCAACTTAGAATGACTGAAATTAGCTTAAATATGTAACCGTTAAACATGTACTCTGGTAATCTGAAAACATTTAGTGTTATTAAAAGGATAGTTCACCTTCAAAATGCTAAATTTACTAGCCTCATGTCAAATTTACTCACCTCATTTAGTCACCCTCATGTTGTTCCAAACCTGTACAAGTTTCTTTCTTTTGCTCAACACAAAAATACATTTTAAAGAATGACAGTAATCAGACAGTTGACGGTAGCCATTGACTTCCATAATAGGAAAAAAGTACTAGGCTATAAAAGTCAATGGCTACGGTTAACTGTTTTGTTACCAACATTCTTCAAAATATCTTCTTTTGTGTTCAGGAGAAGAAAGTCATTCAGGTTTGTAATAACATAAGGGTGAGTAAATGGCTGGCACTGGATGCAACTGTGAAAAAAGATTACCAACAAAGAAAGAGAATTTGAAATTCAAAATTGTTCATCACATATTTACCAGCAAATTTTTCAATGAGGCACTCAAGATTCCAGTTGATGAGTTTGTTGAACAAAACTGTCCATTGCTGTAAAAGAACAGAAGGAAACATCATATTAGTAATATCTTTACAGTTAGCTGGATAATTCAAAAATATTTTATAAAATCACCTGTAGATATTTCATAGAATATGTTTTATTCATTCCAATGTATTAGTCTGTTTGTAAAAATAATAAATAATAAATAAATGTTGTTAATGTTTATTTTTCCTGGCAGTTGTTAAAAAATTCATGATTTAATGATCATCATAATTATTTTAATTATTGTATACCAAATTGCATGACACACCAAAATAATAAATTGTATTAATACATAATGGTTTCTCCTAAGGTTTTTTTTCTCTCTCCATTCTGTCACCTGATGGAGTTTTGGGTTCCTTGCCACTGTTGCCTCTGGCTTGCTTAGTTGGGGGCACGTAATATTATTAATATTGTTAATATTTACTTTTTTTCAGAGCAACAATTGAACCAAATTGAACTAACGTTACAGTAACTATTTCATAATTTATTATCTTTACACAGTTTTCGAATGGAACTGAAGCAACACTGAACTGACTTTAGCTGAACAATTACAGTTTTTGATGAGAATTGTACTGAGGTGGACGATGACCTCACTGTTTTCTGCAGGGCTGCTTTATAGCCGAATTGAAAGGCTGGTTCACACGGGACGATTTTAAAATTGTCGGCCGATTTTCCCAACCTGACGCTGCCTTCACACTGGCAGTTGAAATCAGCTCCGTAATACGCAATACGTTCCCAACGGACGTCGTACTACACAGTGAAAAGCGTCGGACGCGGGTAGAACAAAAATGGCGGAGAGATTAAAGTTTGATTCTGTCAGTTCTGTATGATCTCTCTCTGATTAGGGTTATGCTGCGTGAGGAAAGTTGCTCAGGACGTTGACATGTCAGGTCGGCTAAAAAATGTGATATAGTGGTCAATATAGTTCAATTGCCCTTATAAACGTTAGAAAGTCATGAAAATAAAAAATAACAGGACAACTTATCGTTATAAAATCGTTATTTATTATATTAAAAGTTAATAATTCAGGTTTGTTTATCAGTACCATAGCAACGCTCAACTTCCGCTGGAATTGTCGGATAGGAACCGTCCGTAGCTTTCCGCAGGAGTTCAAATTTTTGAACGCATCCGGATGACCAACGGACACGATTTTCTTCGCACCGCACTCGGTCGGACCCGTTTCGGACCCATTCGCATGCGGTCTGCGAATCTCCATAGGAAATGAATGACTTCCGGTCGTTTCGCAGCCGCATCGGAGCTGATTTCAACTGCCAGTGTGAAGGCGGCGTGAGAGACCCCACACACAGCGATAAAAAATCACGGGTTTAATGGTTTTGGTCGTACCGTGTGTGGTGCGCAGCCACACGGCAAAATCAACACATCACACACGAACCGATTTGACTCCCGAGCATTCCTAGGTCATACTGCAACATAATAAAATATTTATGTAAAGCTACCTTTCGAAAATGACGAACAATAACAGATAAATAGTAGCCTTATAGCTTCTTTAGCATATGCAGCCACTAGCCAGTGACATTAACTGCATCCAACACCGCCGAGTCAGTTTCAAGTAACGTTACAAGAAACCCGCAAAATTTCTGGAGATAAAACACCAACAACTGTATTTAGACATCGTGACCGTGTTATAAGTGGAATAATTGATGACAGACCGTGTAAAAATAATGAATGTTATGTCTGTGTTATGTTAGCCTAACGGTCGCTAGTTCGACAGACACAAAAAACAGAGGATTCGTGTAATATAAGGGTCCGTCGTCAATAATTCATAGATAATTTCAACATAATTTCTTATTGACTTTCTGACTTCGTTGACTAATAACGTTAGGATAATTTTAATAAAACACTGTTACTCACCTTAAGCTCGCTCCTGCTTGAACCTCCCCTCCTGTTGACGTTGATTCAGTGTGTGAGGACAAAAGCGCGCGTATAGGTGAGCGCTGGGTCAAAAGTTTCCAAAACAAACCCAAATGCTGGGTCATTGTCAGCTGATTACAGAGAAAATAACCCAGCAACATAATCAAAATGCTCAACCCAGCATATGGGTTTAAAAAATAACCCAGCATTTTAAGACCTTCGTTCATCTTCGGAACACAAATTAAGATATTTAAGATATTAAGATCGCTCCTGCATACTAGTCCATAGGCTTCTTGAGGGAATGACTCTTGCTGGCATCGAAAAGTCATTAAAGATATCGTTAAAATAGTCCAACTGACTACAGTGGCTCAATTTTAACTTTATCAAATGACGAGAATACTTTTTGTGCGCAAAAACAAACAAAAATAACCACTTTATTTCAACTATTCACTTCCTTCTCCATGGGCCTGTAGTCAGTTAGCGTAGTGTGATTGTGTAAAGCTACGTCACACGTAGGCTTACTATTGGCCGATGCTGGTCATGTGTGTGATGCGTGTGACGTACAATAACAGAAGCTTGCGCTATTAAACTAGTAACCTGACTCGCGTAGAGGGAGAAATAAACGATTAGTTGAAATAAAGTCGTTAATTTTTGTTGTTTTTTTGCGCACGAAAGTGTTCTCGTCGTTTGATAAACGTAAGATTGAGCCCCTGTAGTCACTTGGACTATTTTAACGATGTCTTTAATGACTTTGAGGACAGCAAGTCATTCCCTCAAGAAGCCTATGGACCAGTATGCAGGAGCGATCTTAATATTTTAAATATCCTAATTTGTGTTCCGAAGATGAACGAAGGTCTTACGGGGTTGGAACAACATGAGGGTGAGTAAATACTGACAGAATTTTTGGGTGAACTAACCCTTTAACAATCTAGTAACTACCATTACCTAAAAAAAACTCTGATTAACGAACTAGTAAGTAATGTAGTAAGTAGTGCACAGATGAAAGTGTTACTACATACTTCTGTGGGAATTACTAATTATTTGGATTCGTATTATAAAGTAAAGACCATGGGAACTAACTAGTAATGACTAAAGTGAAAAGTAAAAAAGTAAAGAACAAACATTAAAACAAACAAAACAAAAAAGACAAACAACAAACAAAATAGTAAAGAAATTTTCTAAAAGTATACTTAAGTTCACCAAAAATCTCAAATGCTCGAAATGACTTTAGTGTTTGGTTGCACAAATCATGACTAGATCATGAAGTAACACTTGAGTCATTACTAGTTAGTTCCAATGATCTTCACTTTATAATACGGATCCAATTAGTAATTCCCACAGAAGTATCTAGTAACACTTTCATCTGTGCACTGTTACTTACTAATTCATAATCAGAGTTACTTTTTAGGTAATAATAGTTACTATTGTTAATAAACTTTTACAGTAGTTCTCTGGGAAGTATTAAAAAAATGTTATTTATTGATTAGTTAATAGTGAATACCACTTTTATACCACATTTGTGCGCTATAACCAGTGGGTATGCCCAGTATAAAAGTGGGTATGCGCTATATGCGGCGCATAGGGGCGCAGCACAATGGGGGGCGCCAAAGCGATGGTAAAAAAAAAAAAAATTATATATAGGCTATATTGTATTTCTATATGTAGCTGCCGTTGTCCGTTTCTAAATCATTTCTGCATTCCTTCAATGTTATATAAAATTTTAGAGGACTAACAGCCAGGCTAGAGTAGGCGCCCTCATGGAGAAGGGGGGCGGGTAATATCGCGAGCGGGCGGGGGCGCCGTGAGCTCTGAGCGAGCAGGTACGAGTAGTTAGTTGTCGTCGAAAAAGATGGATAAAACAAAATGCTGTGGGGCTAAAAATAGAAAAAGAAAGAGAGAAAAGGAGATGGCATGTCAATGGGCTATATGCACGCATAAGTTCCGCATTTGACGTAAGGATGCTCGTCCATTTCCGGTTGTGTAGATTAAAGCGGAGGAAAACCGGAGAAAACGGGATTATGGCAGAGTCTTCAATATTTACTGTCCTCCCATCTTTGAAACGAAACGTACATACGTTTAGATGTAATTTTATATATAGTTATGTTTATTTAATATAATTTTAAAAAGAAGCATAAACACAACGAGGGGTGTCTGTTTTATCTGTTTTTGTGACTAACGTTTCATTAGTATAACCATGGAGTATAAAATTCAATATAAATTCTCGGTATTGCATTGGACTCTATGATCGGCGGAAGTTATCGAGCATCCTTAATCCTTTACCGGAAATAACGCCGTGCATAGAGCCCATTGATGCGACAGCAGCTAAATAACTGCATGCATTGCTGAAAGCCAACAGGTAGGATTTAAAATGTGACATGCAGGCATAGGCTATCTACTGTATATCTCGGTGGCCATCGGGACTACCGGGAGATTCCCGCTGGGCCGAAGTGCTTTTCAGCCAATACATTTCATCCTTTTTTAATTTATTTGTCTTTACGGCCCACAAAACTCATACATCGGCGGCCCATTTGTTTGTTTGTTGTTTGTTTTTGTTTTGTTTTTTGCTTAATTGGCGGCGCTGTGGTGGTGTAATGCATTGATCAAAAAAGTCAGCTTTAGTTTTTTTTCTGACACACTGGCCAATGAAACATGTCATTATGCGCAAGTATCTTTCAAGTAGGCTATAGAAATTAGTGCAAAACTAATTATGAAAGTTTCCTTTATTTTTCTGTGCATTTGTTTTACAATAGCCTTTATGGCAATTACTATCATGGGATTAATATTATAACTATTATTATGTAGTAGTAGCAAATTTTTCTCTGTTTAATTTGCACCCTGAATATGGGTTGGAGCTTTTAATTTTGAACTCTCAAAGTGCACCAGACTGCTGAATTTAACATTACAGAACACAAAATTTTCTGCTATTGCTGTTACAATGGAGCTTATAGTTTTCTTAGGGGGGGTTCATCAAGGTGGAGTAGCTATAGTTTAATTGTGTTAATAAACGACAATTTTGCACTTATTTTTTTCTGTTAGCTCTCATTTCTTCCTACTCACTTATTACATAGCACACTTACATTACATTTATTTTATTTTTATTTTATTTTATTTTTTTGGGGGGGGGGCGCTAAAATTGTTGCTGCATACCCCTCTGAAACTGGGTAGTTGCGCCCCTGGCTATAACTTACTAGTTTGTTAATCAGAGTTTCTTGTTAGTTAATAATAGTTACTAGATTGTTAATACTGTGTTACTCATTGGTTCTTGTGTAGTTATTCATTAACAAAGGAACCGTATTCTAAAGTGTTACCAAGATATTTTATAAAGACAGTCCACTTCGTGGAGCCATCTTTGGAAAACAGTCTCGACTTGTCAAACCATGAACGACATTGCTAAGTGAGCTGAACTGTATGAAGTTTTGCGAACTTCTGAACTGTATGAACGGCTTCGTGGTTCGACTTGTCAAGACTGTTTCCAAGATGGCTCCTGCATGTATACACGAAGTGGACTGTCTTTATAAAATACTGTATCTTCTTATTAAACGGTCTGTACACTTACACAGTTCTCAATGCTTCGGTTTTCATGTAGGGACCCTCATTATGTTACTGTGTTAGTGTGGGGCTTTTTGAGCCTTGTTAGTGGTATTAACTAGCGATTTCTTTTTAGTTATTACATGCCCCCATTACTAGCGTTATACTCTAAACAGTTTGTAACACTAAGGTCAAAGGTCACATAAATAAAGAGTTGCAATTTTACTCCAGGCCATTAGAGCCCTTATCTCTACACAAGAGTGTAAAAGGAAGAGGGAAATGTGTATTAGGCATACCTGTTAGCTGAGAGCACATGCTCTTTCCTTGCTTGGAAAACACTTTTGCACAATATACATGTGTTAATAATAAAGGAACAAATACAATTAACTCACATTGAGAAGTTGAACACAAATGTTCCTCAACAGGGTTTTCCAAGCAAGGAAAGAGCATATGCTCTCAGCTAACAGGTACGCCTAATACACATTTCCCTCTTCCTTTTACCCTCTTGTGTAGAGATAAGGGCTCCCTAGTGCCCTCTAATGGCCTGGAGTAAAATTGCAACTCTCACTCACCATAGGAGACAGTTTACAGTTTACTAGAACTGTTACAAGTTTTTAGAGATAAAACTCTTACATTCGATTATCATGAAAACAAATCTCAGAGAACGGTTGACTAGGTACCAATGTTTTATTTGACCAAAGGTTCATTTTGCGCTTGAGTTCTCCTTTAAGATATTTTGTGAATACGGCCCCAGATGTTTTAGACTACATAACATGAAAACAAAATTATATTTTAACCTTAATATAAACAAAACAAGAGAGATCATAAAAAGGCGCATTTTGTTTTTATTTAGGACTGCCTTGATCAAGCTAGCCTATTACACACAACACATGTTAACACACAGACAAAATTATGGCTGAATTTAGTGCATCATGTTTAAAGCATATGTACACATTTGTACAGGCATTGTCTTTTCTGCTTTAACATTATTTTGTCTTGTGGGCAATAAACAGAAGTTATTTGAAATCCTCATCAGGGCAGTTCAAAAAAGTCACTTTTTTGAACCCTCTTGATAAAATGATTAACATTTTGTAGATTCTGCTGGGTGTATTCAAATTGTAAATTGAGCATGCACGATAATGTTACAGATTAATAGTTTTTTTTTTTCCTAAGTACATCCTAGAAGAAAAGGTTCTGAAGCGCTACGTATTTGGAACCCCTAAAATGCAATGCATGTGAATGATCACAAAATTCAAGATATGGGGGTTAAAAATGTAATTAATCAATATCACACGAAGAGTGCCATTTCAGTTTTTATCCTCCAAAAATCTGCATGATTAAATTAAGTTACTACAACAGTTTAATAAACAATAATTTAATTACAACTACAAAATGTTGCAGAATAATGTAATATATGAATGAATGATAGCCTGTAAAGAACCTTTGTGCCAAAAGTGTTCTTTCTTGTCGTTATTGAAACTTTTTTAGCATAAAATGTCCTTTGGAGTTGTTTAAAGAACCCTATGCAA